GACGCGCTCTGGACGTTTTTCTTCCGCCTGTAAAGAGCAACAAATAGGCAATTTTTCACAAAAGCTTAACGGTAGAATGGTGTTCTGTTCACTTTTAGAAGTTTGCTTTCTTTCCACTTTTTACTAAAAGTATAAATTTCATTACTAAAAATTCAAAATGCAATAAATTTTCTTTTCTCCGCGTGTATGCTGTTAAAGTTTCTGAATGTGCCTAAAGTAACTTATGTATATATTTTGTGGATTATAATATGACCACCACTGTCACCGTACCTTTTGTCGGCGCAGAATTGCGTTAATATCGTTCCGGAACATAATTAACACGCTTTTATACAAAAAAAAAAAAAGAATATATTGCGATTTTCTCACTAATTAAAATTTTTACTAATGTTAACCGCATTCGTTGGGGCTACTAGATTGATTTAAAATTGTTCAAACCTTTATATCAATTTATATTGCCTTCTTAGCCACCTACCTGTTCTGCTTTCTTGCGTTGCTGTCGTTCCTTAACAATGCGTTCTTTTACCTCAACCTTATACGCGCCCAGCATTGTGGATTTCGCGCGTGCCATGCGAGCTATGGAGCATGCGATCTCTGTGAAGGGCTTCCAATCATCATCGCCTTGCGTGGCGACAGTTTGGCGCTGAAAATGAGATTTGTATGAAATATTTGAAATGTGATGCAAGTACATATTTAGGACTGTGATCTTACAATGGCATTCTGATAGATTTGTTCGCTGAAAGATCCCATTAGGGAGCTCTGTTGAAAAACTTTGGACATCAGCTCGTGATTCATTTTGAGCAATTGTACATCCCGCATCACCTCACTGGTGTGCTCTGCTCGATCAGTGACGCTCCCCTCGCCATGAATCAGATCGGACCTTTTTACAACGTTAGATAGTTCATTGAGTGTATCTTCGACACTTTGTACTGTTAAGCGAGTTTCTGTGAATAGAAAATGTAATAGGTATNTATTTGATTATTGAGGTGATGAATTTCTAACGCTTTTTCTATTTCTTCGATGTTGCTATTGTTACCGTCCAGGATGTCTTCAATGCTTTTATTAATCTTCGAGTTAGGGCACACTGTTAGTATGTGCTCTATCGTGAGTTTTGTTGCACAAAATGAGCAAGATGGTGGTTGAGTTCTGGTGAAGAGGTGGGCAGTGTTAAAAAGGGCAGTTCTAGTCCGAAGCCTAGCTAATTCGATGCATTGACTATGTTAGATATATCCTGATGGAACCGCTCGCCGTGCTTGTCGCTAATGGCACCCAAATTTTCAGGAAAAAATTTAAGAAGTTTATCTTGAGCGACATATTGCATCCCATATTCTTGTAGGCTGTTGCTGACCAACTCTTCATGGCTTTCGGCTTTGTGGTTTCCAAGAAAATTACCAACAACATTTCTAAAAGATGTCCATGCCGATTTTTCGATTGGATGAAGTTTTTCTTCAAACTGTTCATCAGCCAATAGGTCTCTAATTTGTGACCCTACAAATTTCCCTTTTTTATTTTGGCATCGCGAGATATACCAAAAGGATTATTTACTTACATACATTCTGGGGGCATCATTTTACGATGTGTAGAAACCACAATCGCAAAAAATACCGTTTTAATGTCAATAATAATTTAACGTTAATTTATCAGAAGCACACTTTGGTAAGCAAAATACGCGTAATCACTCCAGTCAATTTTTAAGGAAAACTGAGGGTAATTGAAAAAAACTAAGTATGAGGTTTATATACGGTTAGGTAGTAGTATCTAAAAAAAAACAACTTAGTTTTGTTTAACGAAACCACTGATTAATAATTATTTGTCGAATCGACTCACATGTATTTAGCACTGATTTTTTGTTTTAAGTTTAATCAATCATCAAAAAATATTTCATACGTTCTTAGTTTAATACTTTCTTATTAAAATAAAACAAAAGTTATTCGGTTAAATATGTTGTAGTTTAAATAATGGAATTTCAATTTAAAAAAAAAAATGCATTTTCACGGCATGAAAACTCCAATCAGAAATAGGCTTAACATAGATACCTTGGAGACAATTTTACTTACAAAACAACTATTTAAAAATAAAACTTCTTTGATTTTGGTGCATCTTGTAGATAATTACAAAAATGCAAGAAGTATCTGACTAAGGAATAATCCATCCATGCTCGATATATGTACATATTTACATATGTGTTTTATGAAAAGTACTCAGAATTGTCAGTTTTATTTATTATTAGAAAAGGCTGCCCTTAAAAATAAGAATGAAGTGCCTTAAATAGTAAAAGATATTTTTGGGGAATATCATTGAAAATAGGGGGATATTTTTGAGGAATTTGGGGGAATTTGCCTCAAGAGTGGGCATCCCTGATCTAAATATCGGTATAAAAGCTGTGACAGACGGCAAAGCTTATGCATATAATCTGGCATA